CCCCAAAACCCCAAAACCCCATAAGGTATATTTATTCAGTATTTAATACAAATGTTTAGAGATAGTCATTATTATAATAAGTAATAAATAATAAATGGTATATTGAACAGAAACCTAAGCCTTATGACTACTCTTTTAAATGATACTCTATTATCATAAAATAAAAGTCAAGGCAATATAAAATGGTATATCTGTAAGTTCGTTAGTTCTGGACTTCTCCATAAGTTCGAAATTAGTAGACTTTCAGACAATTCAATTTTTCAAAACTTATATGAGAGTGACTTAATTAAATGAGTGGTTTAAAAATATATTGAATTATGAAATTAAAGATAGATTTGCGTTAAGCTTCTTATAAAAATTCATTCACTTTGATAGATTCATAGATGTATGTAAGGTTTTGGCTTGAACACCTTGCAGTATTTTAGCACTTTATCCATGTCTCTTATATGGTTGTTTCGCTATGAATCGAGCCTCTTTTTCTTCTCTTTCCTGTCTTCTAGCATTCTTGTTGGCTATTAATTCTGCTGTAACTACTGCAAATATTTTTATTATTGCTTTAGATGTTATTGCTTTAACTCTTTGTTCAAAATTTATTCATATTTCTGGTTTTACTTGAGTTTTCTCTTGATATTTTCCCTTCTAAGATCAGTTTGCATTGTAGTCTAAACACCTTCTCCCTCAATAACTTGACTATGGTTCAAGGGATTATCTTACAAACTAGAAAGCTTGCTGCAATATATAATATTGAACACCCTTTTCACCCCATTTATATTCACAATCGATTGTTATTTCTCAGTTGCATCATTTTAACCTTTTTAGCTGTTTAAGCTGGGTGGAATGTATCTCATATTCTATTCCTCTGATATCTTTTCAGCCTTTTTCTCATACAAATATCGCATTTGATTTTCCTCCTTTTACCATTAGTTCTAAAGATATGCTACTACTTCAAGATATGAAAATGTTGGATACTGTTTCTTTACAATTTTTTCCCTTTCCCTTATATAAACAAGGAATGGTGATACACATTAAGTCTATGGCACATCTTACTATTGAACTCTAAGTAGCTCTTAATCATTAGATAAGTCATCCTTAGACATTTATTTGATAGCATCTTATAGCTTGGCTTTAAGACTCTTTAAGTCTTTGGATATGGATTGTATGTACATTGATTTATGCTCAACAAGTTATCTCAAATTTAGACTTTGAATATTAAGGATTTCTAAGGATTCTATATATGATCGATAGTGCTTTTGTCTCTGAGCAATTTGGCTGAAAAAATTATTGTTAAATGCATTTTAAAGAGTGTCGAACTATTTCTTTAGAATTTCTCTACTCTGTTGCAGCTACTCTATATCTTAAACAAAACTTGGGAAATTCATTGATTTTATTACAGCGTTAAGCTACTTGAATGCTTATTACTTAAGTAAATTAATCTTTTCCTAAAAGCTCTCAAATAACTAGATCAATTGAGTTCGAATGCGAGATTACCATAAAGAGGGGTTCACTTCTTAAAGCTGACTTAAATTTTCCTCGAAGGCAGTCTATTCTCTCCGTACTGTTTCTAGAACTTGATGAGCCATTAGTGATAGATGCTTCGTATTATGATTAGCATGAGAAGACATCGGTAAACATCGGTCGCAAATATAAAGCTTGCAATCTATACAGAAGCTGGTCTTTCTAAGATTATGATCATGACAAAGTTCTTTCTTGGAGGCCTTCTAAGCATTATAATGCTTACTGAATTCCATTAGAGATTCAATTGGTGACTATTTATTTTGATTCAGTAAAATTACTGATGTGGATAACTGGTTAATTTGGTCAACATTATTATTTTCGGATGGTATATTTTATATCTCCATCATTTTTTCAATTCTTTACTGCTGAATTGCCTCTTCAATATTTATTTGTGCTAGTTCATCATTTGGGTTTTCTATCTGATCCTCAATTATCTAAATGTTTTTCAATTTTGATGCGACTTCAATGCACTGATTGTAATCCTCGAACATTTAATCTTCATAATCCAAATCTTGATTGGGATACTTAGCGCTGTTGATTACTTGCTGAAGTTAGTGGTTATAAAACTGAGTAAAATCATTAGATTCTTCATCATAGTTAGCAAATGTAGCCTAGCTGTAAGTACTTTGTGGAATCTGCCTGTATTAATAACTTTATCTATCACTTTGATTTAAACTATCAGCAATACTGCTATGATTAAGTTAAGAGCTAGAAATATTGGTATTTGTATTGTTGTATTAATTAATATTTGATTAATTGCTGTTATTCTGTTGTTGATACATCTATTTTGATTGACGGGGTTTTGGGGTTTTGGGGTTTTGGGGAATTCTGAT